AACTTCCATGCAAATCAGTTCACTCATTTCCGCGTATTAATTAAATTCAACATTTCTAACAGGTGGCAACTCTTAAAAAAAGTAGCCTACTTTCTAACCTAGGTCATAAGCTATCTATGTGCAAAATTTCATGCAAATCCGTTTAGTCGTTTCCGCGTATTAATTTAATTAAACTTTTTTAACAGGTGGCAACTCTTCCAAAAATTAGCCTATTTTCCACTGTAGATCATAAGCTATCTGCTTGCAAAATTTCATGCAAATCCATTAAGTCGTTTCCGCGTATTAATTTAATGAAACTTTTTTAACAGATGGCAACTCTTAAGAAAAGTAGCCTATTTTCCAATCTAGGTCATAAGCTATCTGTGTGCAAATTTTCATGCAAATCCATTCAGTCGTTCCCGCATATTAAATAAATGAAACTTTTTTAACAGGTGGCAACTCTTAAAAAAAAGTAGCCTATTAACCAATCTTGCCTATAAGCTACCCGCGTACAAAATTTCATGCAAATCCGTGCAGTCGTTTCTGCGTGATGATTTCCCAAACATCCAAACATACAAACTTTCACATGTATAATTCTTATTAGATTAGATGAATAAGGCCATTAAATTATTTTGCTGGAAAACGTCAGACTGTCTCTCAATGGTTTTACCTTGTAATGTTTTTATCATGGTAGCGTGTATCTTCACTTGCCCTAAAAAAATATGAAAAATCGTATTAAACTTGATTTCGAATTTTGAACCCACTCACCCTACATGAAATTCAACGGAATTAGCCATATTTATGTATGCTGTGAATATAAACATTTTTTCAAATACATACAGTAATCTGTTAAAGTAAAATTTTCTGATGTTCATGAAACGTATAAAGCCTGGCACAGCCGCAGACAGCGCTGCTCTTACTTGTTTTATTTTGAAACCAAAAAATATTTAGAGGTCGCTCAAAGCGCTCAAAGTTGTTCATGTATTTTATAGGGAGAAAAAACAACTTTTCGTAGCAATGGTATAGAATTCTTTAAAATCAATATTTTTCGATCTGAACTCTAGTTCTCTTGAAGAGAGTCCTCCCATTGCATTTTTTTGGGCTTTTGGCGGACCGATAAAATATAGTTACTATGAAAAAATTATTAAATAAACAATTTGGTATTATTATTGGGAATCTCCAGCAGAGAAACAGAGTTTTCCCACCAAAATGTATTTATTTTAAAGAATTCTATACCATTTCTACGAAAAGTGTTTTTTTTCCTATATGAAATATGTATGTATGTACCTACAAGGAAAATTTTGAGCGCTTTGATCGACCTCTAAATATTTTTTGATTTCAAAATAAAAAATGGGGGTATATTTTTTCGGTATAGAACAATCCTAGGGTGTGGGAGCATAAAAATTCCGACTTTACTTTTTCACATGCATTTTGGACTACCCTAATGTACATACATATATGAACATACATACCCAGCCAGCAAAATATCCGGAAACGTATCCGAAAATGGAAACAAACGATTTTATTACGAACTTCACAGAAACTTTTTCATAGTTACAGGAAACCAAACAAAAAACAATTTTAAGATTCAGCAATTATTTCAATTTGAATAAATATAATTTTAATATATTGCTTCTGACGGAATTCGAACCTGGGACCTCCTGAAAGCTAACAAATAGTAGCACACTTCTCTGCACACTCAGCTACTGGCGAATACGTATACATGTTTTCAAATGCTCAGTTTGAACAAATATTTTAAAATTATTGTTTTGAAATAAGATGATGACATTTTTCAGATACGAAAAATTAACAAACATGGAAATCGTTTTCTGAACGTTTCCGGATACGAAAAATGTACGAAAACTGCACTTTTGGCAAAAAGTACGTTTCTCTGCTGGCTGGGTATGTACATCCACAACTTTAATAAAGAGAACAAATGAAATTTACCAAGCAATAAACTCTTCCGACTTCCAATATTTCGACGGTGCCTCCCAATCCCCGTCTGACCATAGGATTTCTGGTAGGTACTCATTTACCAATTCAATTTGCTCTGGGCGCAATTTTCTATTTACATAATTTTGTTCCAAAAATATATGCAATTTATCATTGATATATAGCCGATTGAACCATTCGAAAAGTGAATAGTATAAACCAAACTTGAGTGTTGTCTCTTTGCGAATCGCGGAAGAAAGTTCACCTGAAAATATTAAAAGTAAGTATAAGATTACTTGCAAGGGAATAGGAAACACAAAACCAAAATACTAAAACATGGGTATTAAACAAAACTCGTTGTGGCGTATTCATAGTCAAAATAAAGTTAGTTGCTTTTTGACATAATTTTCCAATACTATACTAGAGTTCAATCTTTGATGCGATAAATCGAAAGGCAAAAATGAGCGGTTTATTTTGCACAACAACACTGTTTCTTGGCTGCGAAACTTCAAACAGTTCAGCCCCAGCGCGGTCTCAAATGAAGATGAAGACGAAGATGAAGACGAAGCCGAAGACGAATCGCTTGCGTTGGGGGCAAGCTGGCTAGTGTACATAGTGGAAGATGAATGAAGATTTGTTCCTAAATAAAACCTTTTTTTTTTAGATAAATTTAAAAGAAAATAAAGAAAAAAACAGCAATTCATGAAATAAATTTGTGTAGGACAGACATTTTTTGAATATACAAGAATGCCAATTAATACGTTTGATTACATTTGGTCAAAAATTTAGCCATTTCTTGAAAAACGCGTTTTTTTCACAATTGAAAACTGTTAAATAAAATGTAAACAATCCATCACAACACAGTTTCAAGCTGACCGCTTGCTTAACGTCTTCATCTTCGTCTTCGCTTGCATTGTGATCACATTCACATGTTTACTACTGCACTGTTTTTCGTTTTCGGCTTCGTCTTCATCTTCGGTTTCGTTTCCACTCTGTCTTCAACCTAAGGCCTTTCAAGCTACCGGAATATCCGACATAATATTTATTCTGGCCTCATTTGCCTTCTACGATGACTTTCGCGAACATAGACTTCGATTGCGAAGACCTCCGCCTGGAATATGGTTGGTCACGAGCCCATTTTCTGAAAAGGTGCCAAGTCCATTTTTTCCCCCCAAAGTTTGGTAAGACGTAACTAAATCGATTTTTCGTCTCTCCTGAAGAATTAAAAACAAAATGGACTTGGCACCTTTTCACACTTAGGTGACGATATACGGATGTTCGTATTGTATATTGGCAATAATAAGGGTATACGTTTGTACTTAGGAATCAGGTATATTTACATGTTATACGAACGCACCGGTGAAATATTCGTGTAAAAAAGGTTTCTTAAATGTTTGACTATTACTCATTGTCCCGAAACCTACCAAAATCCGATCAAGCCTAGCAACCTACCAAATGGAAAAACCCTACCAGTTTTGGTAGGTTTTGCCTATGTGTGGCAACACTGAGCACAGCACAGCACAGGTTTCTCGCTCTTTGCATTTCAGTCAGGGTTTCAGCTGTACGTTTGTGCGAAACGTTGCCATATGTTTGTTGTAAAACCCTGTCGAATATTTCAGATTTTGGCACTTTCACGCAAACGCACACAGTTTTGTCATAAAGAGTGGACTCTAGTTATATATCTGTCAAAAAAGCTGCAACTAAAGCTTTAAATGCCAGACAAAACTTTGTGGTTTTGCGTGATATTTATAACTTTTCCAGCAAAGTGCCGACGGTGAATAATCCTAAAATACTCGGAGTAACATTCGACAGCCTGCTCTCCTTCTCTGCGCACGCAACCGCTATTGTCAATAAAGTACAGAGCCGCAACAAGGTCCTTAAGTCGCTAGCCGGCAGTACTTGGGGCAAAGGCAAAGAAACGTTGCTGGAAACATACAAGGCAATAGGCCGGCCGGTTTTAAATTACGCAGCGCCAGTGTGGTCGCCGGGGACTAGTAGGACGCAGTGGACGAAGCTACAGACGGTACAAAATACAGCACTTAGGACAGCGACCAGATGCCTCCTGATGTCACCTGAACACCACCTCCACGATGAGGCGAATATGCTCCCAATTAGGGAGCACAACACGATGCTCTGCAAGCAGTTTTGGTTGGGAGCCACAGATGTGGCCACCCAAATAGATAGCTGCTTGCAGAGGAGCCCTCGCCGAGGCACGTCAGGAGGCATCTATATGAACTGACGGATGAAGTCCAGAGATTCATTAAGCAGCCTCTGGACCCGTCAGCTCACAGACAAGCCCTGAACGGCATTCACAGGGACGCAGTCTCGAGTTATGTAGACTCAAGACCTGTGAATGCCGTTCTAGGCACACAAACACCGGACATTGACGCGACAGAGCTCCATCTGCCTCGGGAGACCAGAACAACAATAGCCCAACTTCGCTCTGGCTAATGCAGCAGGCTAAACTCCTACTTGAGTAGGCTAAATGCGGATGTGCCGAACGAATGTCCGATATGTGGAGAGACCCCTTACGACTCGAAACATCTCTTCGCATGCCCGGAAAACCCCACAACCCTAACGGCGTCGTCCCTGTGGACCGACCCCATAGAGGCCGCACGCTTCTTGGGGCTGCCGTTAGTGGAACTCGACGACAACGACTGAGATATCAGCCGATCTGGGCGGTGTTGTTGCAGCCGCTACAACAACAACAACAACGCAAAGGTATGCCACAATGAACGCCAAGAAAACAATTTTTACTGCTATTTGCTGTGGATTTTATATATTAAGCTTTAAAAATATTAGCAATGTAATACAATTTTATGTTTCTGCATGAAAGCTCGAATTTGGACGAAACAAAATAAATATTAAACCGGCTGATTGTCAACGCGCGCAAAAAGATGGGAGTTGGCTGCGGTTACAACGATCTATGTGGCATGCTTTGTGGGTTTTCATACAATTCATCTTATCTGTCAAAGCGAATCTGACACGCAAAGCGAAGCAAGCGATTTATATGGCATCAGAGTATACTTTATTTCGAAGCTCCCTTGTGGTTAATTTTTTTTAAATTGGTAGATGATGCAAATTAATTATAGAATGCAGTGTACGTTTTTTTTTTGGAAATTGAAATACCATAGCCTTAGATATTGTGGCTATTTGGGTGGTGTTGGCTAGATTTGGTTCTTGTTTTCTAAGTTTTATTTCAAGTCTCAGCTCTACATTTAATGATAATAACGATAATAATAATAACAGAGACCGAACCCTTTATGATTTTTATAATAAAAATCATACTTTAATAGTTACTTTATGATTTTTATTTTTTCGATCATTTCTAATCGTTATTATGTGATTTTCATATTTTCGATCATCGTTAATCGTTACGTTATAATTTTGAAAAACTATTTTAACAAGTACGTGTAACATGTATTTTCATAATATTCAACTGAATATCGTGAAATATCATTACAAGAATATATTATAGGTTTGTCCCACAAGCTACTTGTAGAAAAACTCGGGCAAACTTCAAACTGTGAGCGTATATCAAAGAAACTCGAAAACTTACTTGCGGAGCGCGTATATGTAACTCGAAGTGACTTCGAGAAGCTTGGGGAACAAACCTAATGAATGGATGCTTTTGAAAATTTTAATTCATGGAAAAAGTGTGTCAAATTTCACTTGAGTTTGAAATTTTAACTGTGCCCTAAGCTCGAAGTATTATGTTGTTTTGAATTATGTACTTAATTTTCAATTTTTACTTTTTTTGTTATATTTTCGAATTTGTACTATTTTACAGTTGAAAGTCACAGCAAGTTTGAATATTTTCACTGGTTCAGAAAACAATGAAAACTAATATTATTAAATTTCTTGAGATTTATTATTTTTAGGATAATTTCCAAAATTCCAAAAATTTTGAAAATCCATCCTGAAATGTAAAAATATCAAACATCACAGATTGTCGAAAAATTCTTATGTTCATGGTACTTGTGTGTAAAAAATAGAAAATTCTTAGAATTCTAACAGAACATTTTTGAAAAATTCCAAAATTTTTCCACTTATCAGAACTTTTCCAAAATTTTGTATTGATATAACAAAGTTTGATAATTTTAAATTTTTTTTAAATTTTACAAAGCTTAACATCAAAAAATTTTTTAAATCTTCAAGAATTACGAAAATTTTTTAAACTTTCAAATACGACGAAATATGAAAATATTTTCAACATTCGAAAACTTTTAATTTCGTTTGATCATTTTTGTATATTCGACACTTTTACTTAGAAAAAATTTGTTAGAATTCCTACAATTCTCAAAGTTTTTGAAAAATAAAAAATTTTTAGAAATCTAGTATTCATCATTATATTGAATTATTATTTACTAAAATTTCTCAAATTCACAAAGTTTTGAAAGTTTTGGAATTCCATTCAAATTGTTTAAAATGGGAAACTTCAAGAAATTCAAAACTATCAAAACTCTAAAAATTTTAAATTGCGGTGATTTTTAAATTTATATACACGATATATGTTGAAAAATTTACCTCCCCCCCTTCACCCCAAGGATTGCTGCTGGGTCCGCCCCTGTACGCAGGGCCGTCGAGAGAACTCGGGCCCGGTAGTAAAAAATCACGTGCCCCTATACATACATTGTATTAATTTAAAAGCATATGACCCAAATCGCCGAAAACGAAACCAAGGAAAAAATTTTTTCTCAGGTTTCGCAGATTTTTGATTTTGGCTGGGTCATGCATATTCTCAGGTATCATGATGAAAATTCACTTAATCCTGATAAACCTTTAAATTAATGAAAATTAAAAAAGCACAACATGAAATTAAGGGTTGTTTATATTTAAGGACCACCATTTTTTGTATTGTTCTTGCTTTTCTTCGCTTGCCCGGTATTAAGTTAATAAAAACAGTATTCGATAAAATAATCAGCGTTTAACTTTCTAAGAGAAAATAAAGTCGGCAGGATTTCTAATGTAATGTAACAGTCCAAAATATCAAAGGGCTTTTTGGCGCGGAGTCCACCAGACTAAAGGATTGAAAAATCTGGTTTCTTCGAGCATTTTCGGCCTTCTTTCACAATAAAATAAAGCAGTTTCTTCATTATCCATATGTTTTCGGTGGAAAACTATTTGTAACGTAAAACGCGAGACATACGGGCATGCTTATGCATATAAACCAGCACACAAATGCGAATAATTTTGCCCTGACAGACGTCAGTATTGCGGATTAACGGGTCGTGAGTTCGAGTCCCACGGCCAGTAGGATTTTCA